TTGAGCCTAGGGGTTTGAGACCAGCCTGGGCAACATAGCAAGTCCTCATCTCTGTAAAACAAAAACAAAAAACCTGGATATGGTGGCACACACCTGTAGTCCCAGCTACTCAGGAGGCAGGATCACCTGAACCCAGGTCGTAGAGGCTATGGCAAACCATGATTGTGCCACTGTATTCCAGTCTGAGTGATGACATGAGACTCCAACTCGAAAACAAACAATAATAAACAACATTTTTTAAGTGGAGCCCACAGAAAGATTGATGGGAAGAAGGTAACAAAGAAAAAGGACTTACCCATGGTCCGGTATCCTGCAGCAGCCACAGCAAAGTGCCACAAACCAGGGGACTTGAAACAAAAATGTCTCATTTCTAAAGGCTAGAAATCCACAGCCCAAATATCATGGGGCCAGGTCCCTCTACATCCCTCTACATCTACAGGGAGAACCCTTGCTTCTGCCAGCTCTGGTGGCTGGAGTCCCTGGATGTCCCTGGCCTGGTGGTTTTATCCCTCCATCTCTCCTTCTGTTATCCCATGGCACTATCCCCTGTCTGTGTCTGTCTCTTTAAGGACAGTCATATGAGATTAAGGCCCACCTTACTCCAGTATGGCCCTGTCTTTTTATTTTAGTCCCCCAGGCTGGAGTGCAGTGGCACGCTCACAATTCACTGCATCCTCTACCTCCTGGGCTCAGGTGATTCTTCCTTCTCAGCCTCCCAGGTAGCTGGGACTACAGGTGGGCACCACTGATTTTTTTATTTTTTTGTAGAGACGAGGTTTTGCTATGCTGGTCTTTGCTATCCTGGACTCAAGCAATCCTCCCAGCTCAGCCTCCCAAAGTGCCAGGATTACCAGTGTAAGCAAGCCACCACACCTGGCTGGACCTCATCTAATTACCCACAATTCTATTTCCAAATAAAATCACATTCTGAGGTACTGGAGGTTAAAACTTGAACATATCTTTTTAAACAATTGAACCCCTAATGCCCATGAAGTTCCAAATCTTTTCAAGTCTCAGAGAGGGTCGGACACCAAAGTGTCCTCGTCAGCCCACCCCACTGTCACATTCACACTTGTGAGGCTCATTCCCAATGGCCAAGATCTCCCTGGAAAATGTTGAGAAGCCACAAAGAAACACTACATGTCTCTTTAAAAAAAAAGCTCTTGAGATTTAACCTTGTGAATATTCTTCACAAAGCTGTTTCTTGGACAGGTCCCTGGAATTATGCCTTTCAACTCTATTTAGTTTCCACATTTTTCTTCTATCCACTTTCCCCATCAAAGCGTTATCCAAAATCAGCCAGGAAATTACAGTGTTTGTGACTGGACAAAAAATAATCACGTGTTCCATGAAACTATGCGCTCTAACATGACAGCAGTTTTTAAAAAGCCTAAGGTCAAGTCTGTTTCTGCAGAAGATCATGTTCCACATAACTGGCGGACAAAGAATTTCAAGGTGTGACCCACCAGCATCACCACCAGTATAGACCTTGGACATGATGGCAGCCTGGGTTGGCAAAACCAAGAAGGGATGAGTTTGATGGCTTCAGGCGTCACCAAGCCTCCCAGAGGGTGGTGGTGACCTGTAGCTTTCAGAGAAGAAGTGCGGTCTGTTGTTAACTAGAAGAGAAACCCAAGGTATCCTGAGCTCTGAAAAAGATAAGTCAACAATTGACATTATCATCCAAGAGCAACACCCACTCCTGAGAAGTGCAGATTCAAGCAAGCATTGCAGCATCGAAATGTTGAAAGCAAACCTTCCTTTACCTCCAACTAAGGGGAAAACCCTCACCACCCACTCCACTCAGCTGGTGAGGAAAGACTTTGTTAAGGGTCACAGTCACGTTCCATCACCTGTTGAACACACGCAAAGGAACCTCAGGCTGCTCTCTCCCTCTTTGGTCAACGGCAGCTGCTTCCAAGGACTCCATCTACTTGCAAAGGAAGGCAAATTGAACTGCCACAAGACACTCCACCAACCTGCAAACAGAAGAGACTGGAGAAACACTCAGAAGTCCTGGGATAGAAACACAGCCTCTTTAAATAGGCACAGCTGCCAACACTTCCCCAGGGAAACAGGCCATGGCTCAGAAACCTAAGCGCTGCCAAGCCCTGAGAAGTTCCTCTTTGTTTCTCCCTCGTCCGTGACCCTACCTTGTTTTGTTTTTTAACATTCAAATACAAGAACCTTGGGTCTCAGAGTTTGCTCTGATACTAGACCCCCGAAGAGAAAAGAATGATGGCCATTGTTATAGAATCGTTTCAAACGAGAAATACTCATCGTCCCTTTACCAATCCATGACTTAAATTGTGCACACACGGACAATAAGACAACCATGAACTGCTCTGGAAAATACAGTCCTTTTCGAGAGCCCACAGGGGGGAGCCCACTGAGTGCCAGGGCCCTGGATAGCCAAACCTCCAATCAACAGATGAACAATCTGGAGTCTCTTATGCAAATGAATTATAGAGAGTGTGCGCCTTCAGACTACTGATGGGGTTCCTTCAGTGCAACCAGGGAAAAAAAGGAAGCATCCTCACTGCTCCCTAGAGGGCAGACATAGCTTCCCAGCCAGTGAGCAACAGAGGGAACAGGGCAGAGGAAAAAGGGAGAGTGATTCTCATTAACACAGGGCTTAAAACAAAACCCACCCTGGCCCATGAGAAGCAAAGGTCTTCCAACCTCATGCCAAAGGGCAGGGGAACCCTTCTTTTCCAAAGGAGCAGGAGCTTGATGGGAAACCTGAGGAGACTGATGTTTCAGTGGGATCCTGGATGCCAGGTCGTTTACCCCGGCATCAGCTCAGAGCTATTGGGAAGAAAAGCCAGGTATTATTATGTACCAACCCGGTGGTTGTCCTCGACTTTCCAGTGGGAAGGAGGACCAAGGAAAACTCAGCAAGGAGCCAGGCACAAGGAACATGCGTATGACTCACTCCAAGCCTTGGTTGACTTTGGAGCATTTCCAGAACATTGTCTGTATTGCAATTCAGCACAGCTCCTATGAGCCAGACTCTAGTCCAAAAGCAAGTTAAGATGCTGATAAGCAAAGTCTCTTCCTTCAACCCTTTGCCCCCATAACTTACTTCCTCCTGACACCCCAACATCTCAAGTCTTGATTGAGCAATATTACCAACCTAAGACCTCTTTTCGCTGCTCTAAAAAGCAGTCATGACCTTTTATCAACCAGATAAATCCAACTTAATAGGAACGTTCAGCGGCCCAGGATGAGTTGCCAAGAGGCAAGTAATAGGCTGGCAGGGTTTAAATTACTTCATAGCATCCAATGCCAACACGAAGTCAGGAACTGTAGAACATTTGGTAGAGAATTATAAATTAAGGATTATAAAGCCTGGCATTGAAGCAACAGCCTTGTCCTATGTGGAAAATCCTACAGCTGCCATTTCCCTTTGAAGCTCGGCCACACATGGCCAACTCTAAGCCTATCTCTTCCTGGAGGAGCTGCCAGGCCACTTCAATTTTAAATCAAGTACTGGCAGTGGGCATCCAAGATCCTTGAAAATATCCAGCCGACCCCCAACCCGGAGTAGACCCCCAACTCGGAGTAGCTAACCAAGATTCAACCTGATTCACCCCATGGGCAAATAAAAATGACCTAAAAGGACCAGGACGCCTTTGTTACCTGAAAATCGTTTCCAAAGATGGAGAATTTCCATTACCACAAAACACTGATATCCGACAGTTCACTGCTTGCATTTGACTGAATGCCAAGTCCCCCTGCAAAGTATCTGCACAAGAAATACCTGCGATCGCTTAATTCCCATTCCTGACCAGCATATGGCAACGAGATACACCGAAAAGTTCACTGATGTACCTTCCATAACATGTAGCAAAATGTCAATGAACTGCCCTCAGACATTTCCCAGCATCCCTGGGGTAATAAAATAGTACAGCATTTGAGAGACACTGGTGATAAAGAAAGGACCTGGGACAGTTGAACAGTGTCTCCTTAAGGAGAGAAAATGAAACTTTCCTGTTTACCCTATTAACTCAGTTCCCAGTCAAGACATAAATTGGCTATTTTCACTCATCTTAGAGGCAAAAATAACAATAACAAATCAAACTATAGCCAGACTTTCAGATTCTATTGAGAATGCTTTTATTATACAGATATCATACACACAATTATTTGGGGGAACATTTACAGGCATGGAGTTCAGTCCTAAATCTCCATTTCACCCACACACACACACTGTACCGCACACGCATCTTAGGGTTCAGCCCCACAGGAATGTGATAGTTATTGCTTTCTGAACAGAGAGCTTCAATAGAATAGAATCTTCCAAGCCCAGAACAGAGCCCAGTGTCCTCTTAATTCTGAATACCCTGTGTACATATAAGTAAAACCTTAAGATGTGCCATAGATTACCCCATCACCATTAAAAGTCATTAAAAATCAAATCCCATTTTTCTCAAAAAGTTGTAAGAAGTGCACCAGTTATTTACAGACCCCATTAAATTACGCATAAATAAAATCTGTACACGCAACACACTGTTTCAACACATAGAGACTCCATGGGGACTTAGGGGTGACAGGCACATTGCTTCATGCCTGCCCTTTTTCAAGTTTACTCGAAACATCTGAAATAAATATGCAAATAAAGCTTCAGTACCTTAAAGGAACATGTCATTTCAAAGAGTCTCCCATTTAAAGAGTTAACTTTCAAAGTTAAAAAAAAAAAAAAAAAAATCAGCAGGCTTTGTTTCTACAAGTTCCTAAAAACCAGAAAGCCCCCTTTGAATGCGGTGTTTAAAGTGTGTCAAATACCACCTACCTGAAGAAGCTAGACACTTTTTAAAGATAAATATTTAAGTGGACACAAAAGCCAGTCATTACCCTAACACTGCAAAAGTTGTTGTTGATCTGGACCACATCCCTATGACATTTCAACAGCTAAGTGTGTGGGTTTTTTGTCAGCCCGGGGGATTTATGTAAAAGGTTCTAAAACTTGTAGCACCACTTTCAGAGAATGGGGTTCAAAAAACTAAAACCAAAGTTTAATGAATGAAGAACCAGGACTTGTCACCTCCTGAAAACTTTCCAAGTTAGGTGATACCTCAGCACTAGAGAAACCAGAAATCCCAGAGAGCGTGTCAAGATGGCTGCAGATCGCGAAATCAAGGAGGCCCTTTCAACAGCAAGGAGGTCCCAAACGCTTTCCACAGGCCAGGACGGGTTCCTGGGGTGCCAGGTGGAAAAGGATTCTTCAGTTCTCTTCCTCACTGACTCTCTGACCCTTAGAGTTCCGGCCCACGTTTATTTCCTGTGCTTTTCCATCTTTTCCAGCGTCTTGTTAGAATCAGCCGGACTCTGGTCTCCGGGGTTCATGTAGGATTTGTCTATGACTGCCAGGGCCTCTTTGATATAGTTCTGCACTGCAGACACCGCGGCACAGATGGCCTGGCTGCCAAACCCGTGGGTAATCAGGCTGAAATGAGACAAGCAGTTCTGTATGTTTGTCTCCAAGACCGGCGTGGGTCTGTTGTTTCCGTTGGGTGTCCGATCTCGAGTAAGAAGTTCTGTGAATTCTTTACATACTTGCCTGTGAAGACAGTCAATGGACTCCAGTGAGTTCTATCTAGCTCTTTACGGGTAAGGAAGACAGAACAAATCACCCTAAGGATGACACCTGGGAGACTAATCAGACCTATTTGACCCAAGGAAGGAGAATCTTAATACCAATAGCCTACTGCTGCACTTAGCACCTATTATCTATTACCAGTGCACTACCTCATTTAATTCTCATTGCAATTAGATAACAGTAACCCCAGTCAACTGGCCAAGGTCACCAGGACCAGTAAATGGTGGGGTCAGGATTCCAGTCCAGGTTAAGGGACAGTTTACTTTGGTGCAAGTCGGTTCCGATAAACAAATCCTGCCAGGAGCCGAGAATCAAGCACCCTCCTGAGCCTCTCTCCACAGCCTGGTTCATGGCGACCTCCCGTGCCCCAGTTCCTGGCTTGGCTAGTTCTGCTTCATTTACCCTGATTCTAACTCACTGTCAGTTTCTATGAGAAATTCCACAGCTGCGTGAAATAGCTTTTGAGGCATTTTAATGTGCCCACATGTCTCCTACAAACCCACCCTGATCTTCACATTTGAAAAACAAAAGTCTCGCTATTGGGAGGTGGAAGGCACATGGTAATCTCTCTTTACTGAATGTGACAAAACAAATCAGTTTTCCACACATTTTTCTCAGATATGCAAATACAGTCATGAAAGGGTGGCTGGTCTATTTTGAGCTATCTGAAGCAGCTCAAAAAAACTGAGTAACACACTCCGCTAAATCATACATATGAGAGTAAAGAAGCATCCCGCTACACCCTAACTCACGGAGATTTCCTTTCTGAGCCCTAAGGACCATGCTGAATCCTCAACTTCTGGAGCATTTATTCATCAAGTTCAAGTCTAGATACTTACTGAGCCGCCAGCAGCATGTTCTTCCTAGCTGCCATCTCATTTCGTCCTCCGAGATGAGGCCTGGTTAAATATTCTGCCACTGGTTTACTAGGAAATTCGGTTTCACAGACATAAGCAAAGTCTCGAGCCAAGTGAACGGCTTCACCTAGAATAATCGGTAGCAGGCTTAGGATGGCTGCAGTCACCGCCAGCTAGTGTCCTATCCCTTTCTGGCACCAGTCACTTTGCATGCTAACATGAAATCAAATACAGGGCCAACAAGTCGGCTGGCAGGCAGAACTTCCCAGGTACTTCCACCCCAGGAATACTAGGGTGCAGATCACACCACGTGAGCAAAAAAAGTCCCGACACTTGCAGCTGTACAGCCAGCCCTCCATATGCATGGCTTCCAAATCTAGCCAAGCTCAGATGAAATATTCGGGGGAGGGGGGAACAGATGGTGGCATCTGTACTTAACACGTGTTTTTTCTTACGCTTCCCAAAGCAATACAATTAAAGAACTATGTACACATCATTGACATTTTATTACGCATTTTCAGGATAATCTAGAGATGCGTTAAAGTATATGGGAGGATGTGTGTACGTTATATGCAAACTGCACCATTTAATATAAGGGATTTGAGCATCCCTCAGATTTTGGGGACCAAGGAAGGTCCTGGAACCAATCCCGAACCCCCCCATGGATACCAAGGGACAGTTTACCAGAAAAATGTTTACCAGTCCGCAGCCCAGCAAACAGACATACTCACGCTTTCCCTTGATAATAAATGGTTAACATTTGGGGGAAGCCAGATCCTTTAAGGGAGATGACCATGTTTGACAAAGCCAACTGGTCACTTCTCTCTAAAACTGACAAAAGTCCTTGACATCTTACTTTTACTTTCTTTAAAGTGCCCTATTCGTGAAGGGGGCAGATCTCTAAACCAAAGTGAGGGGAGTGCTCCCTTTTGGAAATAAAGGTAGGGGGCTCCAGCTACCAACTTGGAAGACCCTCCCCTTGTCCAAGATATTCAGGGAGCAGAGGAAGACCATAGGAGTCACCTCCCACCAGAGAGGTACCTCGCCCTGGCTCCAGGGTGCAAGCCAGGAAAGATTTTCAAAAACCCAGATAGCGAGGGGGCCCTGATTTACTTTACTGAGTCAGCATTGGAGAGCCATTGTTCGGGAACACAAACTTATTCAAGCACCCCTGCCTGGCTAGCAAGAAAACCCAGAATCCAAGACTCTCCATGCGGGACAGCTGTTCTCTGACCTCCCCAGACCCTTGTAAAAAGGTAAAGCAGGGACTCTGCCAAGTCCCTGAGCACCGCAGTCACACTGTGAGACCAGGGACAGAAAGTCTTTAAAAGATGGCACTGCTACCAGGAACACGCTTCTGTCTGGCTTCCCCAGCACAAAGCTGCTCAGGGGTCAACTCTTTTGTACGCAGTAACAACGTGCTTATTTTGTTTTCAAAAAAGTATTTTACTTTTCCCTCAAGCCCCCCCCCACCCCTTTTTTTGAGTCAGAGTTTCACTCTGTCACCCAGGCTGGAGTGCAGTGGCTTGCTCACGGCTACCCCAACATTGACCTGCTGGGCTCAGGCCATCCTTCAGCCTCAGTCTTCCAAGTAACCTGAACTACAGGTGCACCACACCTGGCTAATTTTTTGATTTTTTGATGTACTGTTAGAGACGAGGTCTCACCAAGTTGCCCAGGCTAGCCTGGTCTCGAACCCCTGGGCTGAGGCAATCCTCTTGACTCAGCCTCCCAAAGTGCTGGGACTACAGGCTTGAGCCACCGCACCCAGCCTCAAGACCCTTTTAAAGGTTGTGCTGTGTTCTTGGCTACTTTCCAGGTTGGGGGAAGGGTCCCCCATTCAAAGAAGCTGAAATGCCATGTCCTACTATCTCAGGACTGGAGAGGGGCTCCTGCATGGGCCAGGGGCTCCAGGCCTTTTGTCTTTGGATGGGAGAAAGGGAGAAAGAATCGTGAATTGGGCCAGTCCCATTGTATCAATTGGGAGAAAGGGAGAAAGAATGTGAATTGGGCCAGTCTCGTTGTATCAAGGGGTTCTCCTTCACTGACCGCAATCTCAGTAACCCACAGCTAGGAAAACCCAGAAAGTTACTTCTTTGTCTACCAATGAGTAACAAGCTTTTAGTGTTGCTTTTTTTTTTTTAAATCGGAGCCTCACTCTGTTGCCCAGGCTGGAGTGTAGTGGCACACTCACGCTCATAGCCACTAAAGCCTCGACCTACTGGGCTCAGGCAATCCTTTAGCTCAGCCTCCCGAGTAGCTGAGACTACAGGTGCACACCACCATTCTCGGCTTATTTTTTGATTTATTGTAGAGACGAGGTCTCACCAAGTTGCCCAGGCGGGTCTCAAACCCTAGGCTCAGGCAATCCTCTCACCGCTGTCTCTCAAAATTCTGGGATTACAGGCCTGAGCCACTGTGCCTGGCAAAAACAGTTTCCTTTTAACATTGATTCTCTGGGGAATCCTGGACAGCCAGATATTTAAATGTTATTATTGTGATTCACTGCAATAAACTCGGGACACTCCAAATTGCTTTCATCTCTGTTTGTGACTGAGGAGTTTTAAGAGTTGTTTTCTGGCTTTTCAGAAAGTATTAAAGACAGCACAAATTAAAAACACCAAAAAAAAAACGAAAACAGAACCGCACTGACCTTCTACTAAGGATGTCAGGAGAGTCACGTGAGCGGCTTTCCGTCTCCCGGCAGGAAGATTCAGCCCAATCTTGTCCAGCTTCTCTCGCAAGGACCGACCACCATTTTTCGACTTGGCTCTGAGTAAAAGTAAAATTGACTCTGGCTACTCTCAGGAAACCACACTTTAAAAATTCTGAATTCCTGAAGTGCTGCTGTCAACTTCGAAATCCATCAAAAAAACCATCTGCATCACATGGACCATAATCAAAAGTGAAACGGAGGTCCTGTTTAATTAATTCATCCCCATCAACTTCAAAATCAGAAAAATTCTAGCATCACCAACTTCAAAAAAAAATTAAATCACAGAACACTGCAAGTCGTACTGGACCAAATAACTCTCACTTGTTCAAACTACAGTGGTCCCACAGAAGCTCCCTGGGGGGACAAAACTCATGGTTCTCCCCTTCCCTCAATACAGATGCCACCGCTTCATACAGAGAATCAAATTCTAACCAAATGATAATTTGTTAGCTATGTTTTAGCACTTCCTTCTACACCTGACACTTTGTAAAAGAGACAATGTACTAAAACCTCTTGGGGCCAATTAGAATTCAGCGTTAGGTGAAAGTTATATAAATGTTAAAAAAAAAAATACCTCCCAGCCCTGATACTTTCCCTTTCAACCACCCAACCACCAGGCCCAGACCACCTCCCCCAAGTACCTCCTGAGAACACCTCCCAGTAATGAGGCATTTAAGCACTCAGGCGGGGACAATCGCCTCTGGACTTCAGCCACTGTCACTTTATACTTAGACGTGGAGCTGAGGAGAGACAGTCTTCCAGGGACGGAGCAGAAGACCTCGGTGGGATTCATCACGGCTCCCTCCAGTTCCTTCTGACAGGGGAGGCTCAGGGGGTTCTTGGTCATGGAAATAGGACCTGAGAATGCAGACCAGAACTGGCAGTCAGAGTTGCCTCCAAGCAAGAGACCCCCCCCCACTTGGAAGCCACTAACCAAAGCTGAAAGTGCTCGTTAGACAAATGATGTTGCAGGCCAGGGGCCGGGAGACTACAAATCGCAAGCAGACTATTTTTAAAAAGCCACATTCTTCAGAGATAAATCGAATCTGAAATTCACAAGTTAACACCTCGGGAAGTTAATCAGTCTAGATCCCAGGCTTGGAGCAGTTTTTCATCTTCTAGCCACTGCTTAAATCTAATTACATTTGTTTTTAGAAGACTGCTTCAATACTAAATTAATGGTAAGTTTTTTTTTCTCACTCAAACAACCAAAAAAATCAGATGCTTTTGCCAAAACCCTTCAGTGTAACTGATCACAATATATCTAATAGTGCAAACTAACCTATTCTAAGTGTACTGGAAATTTTAGTTTATTCTCCAAGCTTTTCTTCCACACCCATTTTCCCCTCAATCCCTAACCTACTTAAAACACTTCCAGTAACAGACCGCAGCTACCTTTAATTTGGGCCTATAGTACTTCAGACTGGTGGCAAGCCTGTCAGTGTATAATTTAATTTCATGAGCCACTCACTGACCAAGTAATCCAATTTTCTAAATCTCCTTCTCCTCCCTCATCCTATAAACTCCCACCTCTCCAGACCCCAACAGCTCTGTTCCTTAGGGCTCTGTTCCGCTTCCTTGGTAGGTCAAACTGTTACAAAACTTTTCATGCAGGTGAGAATGGACCCTTTCTGTATGTTTGAAATCAAAAAATCACCACCCCTTGTCGTCAACAACGGTCACAGAACCAGCCACTCAACGGAATTGTGTGCGTGTAGTTTTTTCAAACTAAATCAGTGTTAACTCCTCAAACACTGTGAAACAACCTCTGCAATTCAAGGAGTAACATTTCCCCGAGGAAAAAACCAGGCAGTAAGTAACAACTCGGGAGATTCAGAGAGGGCGCTTAAGATTCCACCCAGGGCATCGTCGGGTGGAAAATAAATCCTCTCTCCTCCCCCCGTAACCTAGCTTCCTTGGCAAATCGGCTCCTTCTGCTACAATTGACCCACGCGGGCCAAACACCCCCACCTCGCCCGTGAGGGAATGCTTCCAAGGCCAGGTTGTGTGAGCCCAGGGGAAGAGCCTCTCGCTCCACTTACCTTTGCGAATAACCGTCTGATCTTGCAGCAGCAGGTGCTGGTTGTCCACATTCTGGGGGAGAAACGACAAAATCTCCTTTAAGCTCGGGGGAGCCTGGCGGGGCCCAGGGCGGGGATGGAAGGCCGCAGCGCAATCGGGTCCGGAGGGAGCCGCGGCGGGGCTCACCTGCACCTCCTCCATCGAGTGGGCCATGTCGTGAAGCCCCAGGTTCTCGGCCAGGCCCGCGGCATCCAGGCCGTGCGCGTGGGGCAGCAGCAGGTCGGAACGGCGGTAGGCGTCCCTGCGGGCGCCCACCGCCCCCGCCTCCAGCCCGGAGAGGTGAGGCAGCAGGCCGGCCGGGCGCCCGTGGTGCGAGGGCAGGCC